TATTTTTTCTCCGAAGCTATCATCATCCCTGGCACTTTATTGTCATGCTACCTGCTCCTATATCATATCTTCTTCCATCTGGTTCCTATATCTTCCATAGTGCCATTTTGCTTTGGGGTTTCCGACCCCTTCCGCCACCCTTTTCCTGGGACACACATTCCTCTAGTTGCAGATTTATGTTTCTCTTTCTTTCTTGGACATTCGTCTAGCAGAATTCACCATGTTCTCTTAAATCCATTGTGCAATTTCAATACCAGCAAAAAGTCTGAAGAAAATTCTATTTCCTGTACGGCATAAGTGTTCTATTAACCTTGTCTGGGATGGTTTTTCATTCCTTTAAGTAGTGGTACAGAATGTCAAGTTACCGGATATTTTCAAGGTGTGCTTCAAGTTTGGAAGGAAAGAGAGTGAAATGAAAGATACAACAACAACAACATATCCAGTATTATCCCAAACCGTGGGGTCTTGGGAGGGTAGTGTGTACGCAGACCTTACTCCTACTTGTGAGAATAGAGAGGTTGTTTCCAATAGACTCTCGGCTCAGGAAAGCATAAGCACCACATTAATGAAAATATAGACAAGAAGGGACAGTACCAAAAAGCCATATAAAAGCAGAATAAAAACAACAAGATAGTAAGGTGATCAATAATGAAAGAAAACAACGGTTAGTCATAAAAATCTACTACCAACAGAAAGCGAGATTGCGTGCCAATACTACTGTTATGAACACTCTAGGCTACCTACTCTACTACCCTAATCCTCGACCTCTATACATTCCTATCAAGGGTCATGTCCTCGGTCAGCTGAAGCTGCGCCATGTCTTGCCACATTAATGAAATGAAAGATACAAGGTCAAATATATTTTCAGCCTTCTTCGAGTTTTGGAGGAAAAGAGAATGAAAACGAGTGAAGAAAGATTAAATTAAATTGGAGTTGGAGCATATAGAGAAATTCAATTTGCTCTCCAGCGCTGAAAGTGATTTTCTATATAACTTGCATTTTACAAGGTAGAATACCGATTCTCAGATCCCTAACAGAATATTTAATTATCCTCATGAATATTCTGTCAGGTACAACTAATACGAGATCCCAAGCAACAAGTTGAGATGGTTGGTGTCCCAGAAGAACACTTGTTAGGTCATGCTTTCCACATGTACCATCTGACCTCACCAGACGGAACGTAATACTGTCTATCTTTTGCTTTCCCCTATGTTATTTTTTGTTGCCAATGTTTATAAATTGAACAACTTTAACTTGGTATCTCCCCTTTTCTTTTTTGATAAGGTTTAACTTTGTATCTCCTTTTTCAGGGTTTCTTTTGAATTTCAACACAATGTTTGTGGTAGATCAATCTATGCAGAGGGAACAGTTGATGCTATACTTTTCCTTGCTAAGAAGGTAATCTGGACAAAAAATGTCTAAATTTGTTATTGGAGCTTCTCATTGCAGCGCTTTCACCATGCATCTCAAGGAACAAATTCAGTTAGAAATAGAAGTTTCAAATATTTTCGTGATGCGTTCTAGCTTTTTACTCTGCATTCACCAAAGAATAACAGTTGATGTTTTCTGAATATAGGTGAAATTGAAAGAAGAGAAGCGAATATACGACATGATCGATGTGCTGCGGGAGGGAAACATGCGATAACAGCTGAGTTACATATGCTGGAGTAGGATGTATAACATTTAGACCTGGGAATGGAGAGAAACAAATGTTGGGTTCAATTTTCATGGATTTGTCCCTCCAGTGGTTCTTGGTGCTTTCGGATCTGTTGTTGCATGATTCTTAAGATGCATCAACCAAAATAATACAAAAATTCTATTATAGCTAGTAGGTTTAGCTANCCCCCCCCTTTTCCCTTTGTACTACCATAAGAGAAAGAATGTGATAGGAGGTTCCCAATGTTTCTGGGAAGTACAATATTCACCATGTATTGAGTTTTGGTTATTTTATTATTGAGATTATTACATGATTTACTTTCATTAGGTTTGATTTGATTTTATCTGGTTCAATTATTGTTATATTCCTGGATTAAGATGTAATCTTGCCGAGAATCAATAGTATACCAATGTATGTTTGCAGTATTACAAATCCCAAGCAAGCTCGAGGGTCTTATCAAAGTCTTTCCTTTATTTCTCTCGTTGAGTTTAAGAGTCAAGCGAGTTTTTCTTTGATCACGAATTTTTCATATCCTTTTAAATATTTTAAATTATTAATTATTGTTACTTATAGTACCTTTTATCAAGTTTCCAAATTTGTAAATTTTATCTCTAAAAGCTTAAAAGATTCTATATCCAAGTTTATGGTCAAAATTGAAAAATTTGACTCTCGAAATTTGAACTGTATCAAACAAATTAGGATGGATGGAGTAGATATTATGGTCTATATCAGTCGGACTATGGTCTGTTGGACAAAAATTAAAACGATCTGTATAGTCCTAGTGATGTTTCATATGCTGATGAGACTAGTAGAAAAAATATAGATAGTAAATTGAGTAACTTGTTATGGAATACTTTGTAGTTTAGTTTGTCAATTTGTTTCAATCATGCCAAACTTCTGGTATGGTGGAATAAGTATATGAATTTGACTTAGATATGGTGAGATACTTGGAACAAATGAATCTCTAACTTATGTGATTAAATATATACAATATCAATTATATTCAAGGATATTAATTGGTAGCTTGGGATCCCCTACCCCTCGAGTACTAAAGCCTCAAGTACTTCATTGGTTTAAGCCTCAAATTGAAGGCTTGATCCAAAAACTCAATTCTCTCATCCTTTGATGTTTTTCAGAATTCAATTCCATCTCAACAACGTTGTGATTTGTTCTTTTTCAGCCCCAGCAAATTAAATCAATTCATCACTGTCATTACTCAAAGAGATAAGCCGTTTCTGGTTCAAAACTGTTTCCCTAATTCCCAGCTCACCTGTCTTTTTCCTTCTTTCTGAACACTTGCTCGAGCTTCACCCTAACTTGACTTGACTTGGCTGTATGTGTGGACGGACCAAGTTGATTGCATTAAAACTTGGGCCCAATGCTGGAAACTGAAATTCCAGTTATTCGAACAAGACTCCGGTAAGTCAATTTTCTTCTCAATACATGGCTAATGCTAACGACTTCTCCCCACATTTTCCACTGTACTACTCTCAATACGTGGCACTGTGTTTTTCTCGTTTGTTTAAAATATTCTGAATTGTTTATTATTATGATATGTAATACCTTTATGTACTTTCAAGTATTTAAATTTTATTTCAAAAAACTTAAAGATTCCATTACGACTCTTGAGAAATTCAAACTGTACCACATAAATAAATTGGGTTAAAGGGAGTACTAAAGGTGAAAGGTATATATAGTAGTTTAGAGTTTAAGGTATACGCGTTGACGAAGTAAAAAAAATACTTATTTAAGTAACTAACCTGCTACAATAAATTAAAGTACACTATTTGTAACTTAAATCATTAGTTTATACATGAATGATATTTCTTGCAAATTATGGATGAGCTCAAGACAAATATACCAAGTCTTTCGTAGGACCTATTGTTTTGTTTTCTATGTGATGCCACTTTGTTAGCTTCCTACTTTATTCCCTCCAAAATTTGCTGAATATATACTCTTCACCTTCCTTTAC